AACCGTGCTCTCTGGCAAAGTTGGTAGACAGTGGAAAATGTGTTGCACCAAGCAAGCCCGAAAGCACGCAACTGGTTGTTGCTTCGGAAGTTCGCGGGCTTTTCCGGGATATTCACAATTTTGAAGATGGGGCAGATGCATTATTCGCATTTATTGACCAGAATACGATCGATGTCATAATCAAATGCACAAGGCAGGAAGGAAAACAGAAAATTGGGGAGGACTCTACTTTGAGTGACGGCAATATCATGGCATTGGTTTCGCAAATTTCCGCAAGAGGCGTCCTCTGTACCCGCAATAATCTGCCGACGGCCCTTCGGCTGGATAGGAATAGACGCCAAATAATCAAGTAAAATCCCTAAAAATAGTTTCCAGGAACTACTCTGCTACTTGAGGTTTGATCGCGAAGATGGTCTCCGGACAAGATGGCGAACGGAAATTATTTGTTTGCTATGAGTCGCGACACCACTTTCTCCTTTCGCTCATAAAATATGTAGTTCTCACAACAGTCAAGGAATGACCAACCTGGCTGGGGAAACTCCAGCAAGTTGGCGAAGCAGCAGCCATTTCCGGGGTAGTGGACTGAAATGTAGAGTGTGCAGGATGGGCATGTCAAGCAAATGCACTTATATTTTTCCGTAAATTGACGAGAGGTCTCCCTTTCGCTGCGCGCAATGCCAGCTGCTTGTCTTCAAGATAGTGCACCTGTAATTGGTTCTTCCTTTTAAAAGGTACCCTTTACTCCAAGAACTTCCCTTTCCACACATTTTGCCAAAAATAATACCAAGCAGGTATCCGGTGGAGTTATGTGATGCTTCCGGTAATTCTCGGGTATTTGGAATTTAGGTAGTTCTAGGGTTAAAAAGAAAGAAAAAAAAAAAGAACCGTCAACAATTTACTTCAACAAACACACTCGAAAAACTGCTGAGTACTTTAATGCTGTAATAATGATACATGTATACAGTCATGACATTGCACAGATAGTTGACGTAGACCTACGTCATGACATTGTACAGATAGTTGACGTTATTATTATTATTATTTCTTCATATTTTACTAGGGCAGTCCCCACAGACCTATGGTCTTCTTACAGGGTGCCCTAGCCACGTGAAGATAGCGGAGCGAAATGCAGCAGGTAGGGATATGGTGCGAATCGCGGCAGGGAGGGCGTTCCATCGGTCAGCTCCAAGATAAGATACAGAGTGATAGCCAAAATACAATCTGGCATGGGGCAGTACCAGGCCGAGCAATTCCTGAGAACGGGTAATTCTAGCAGTGCGGGATGATGAGACAGCACGAGGAGTGAAAAGTCGGCAAAGTAGGGGACTAGCACGAGCATTTATGCATCTATGTAGAAACAAACACATAGAGGTTGGCAGCATAGCGAATATTTAACGGTGTTAGGTGCTGTCTAGCTAAGATGGGTTGGATGTAGGCAGAGGGAGGGAAGCCAAAGACAGTACGGATCGCCCGATTCGCGATGCTAATAAGAGCGTTATAGGTGGTCTGTCGCAGGCAGTGCACGTACGTAGACCTACGGAGTGTCAAAAGCCGTGGACATACATGATTGCACATGACATAGCAGACTCAGCGGAGGACGTTCAGGTTAGTTGTAACTCTGAGTTCCATGCCGTTAGCCAATCATCAGACAACTGATACTCGGGTCTACCCAACAGTATGCTTATAAACACAGAGGGCCACAAGCATAAACATATTTAGCGCTAAATCTGGTAGGTATGGGGAGAAAGCTGGCGCGGGCCAAGGGGCGACAGTAGAAGTGCCAGGAGGGTGGCGGGCAACAGGCAGTTGTGAGCATGAAAGCGCGGAAAGAGGCGATGGGGAGGCAGTGTACAGCAGATGGGTAGAGGTGCCAGGAGGATGGCGGGCAATGGGCCAGTGAGACCACTACAAGTAGGGAGTCGTTTGGTGACGGGCAGGCGTGAGCAGAGTGGCATCGCCAACAACAGGCCAAGGGATTGTGTTATTAATAATAATGGGTGCTCAGGCAAAATGCAGTTCAATACTTGGTCAGTTCATTTGATAGGTGTGAAATTTGCGAGGCGGAACTTATTCTCATGCATGCATTTCGAGACCATCTCAGACCGCTTGTTGAGTAGGAGCTTCTTGGGTGTAGTCAGGACGTGGAATTGTTCCGCGGTACATAGATTGCATTTTTTTACTCACATCTGTATGATCGGCTCTTCTCCCGCACCTTCCATGTAATGCCTGCCTCCCCATCGCCACTTTCCGCGCTTTCATGCTCACACCTGCCTATTGCCCGCCACCCTCCTGGCACTTCTACTGTCGCCCCTTGGCCCGCGCCCGCTTTCTCCCCATACCTACCAGATTTAGCGCTAAATTTGTTTATGCTTGTGGCCCTCTGTGTTTATAAGCATACTGTTGGGTAGACCCGAGTATCAGTTGTCTGATGATTGCATTACGGCATGAAACTCAGAGTTACAACCAACCTGAACGCCCTCCGCTGAGTCTGCTATGTACTAAGCTCTGTCTCTGATATTGAGCACTCTCTGCAGCTCTGGGATCAACGGATTTGATTGTACATGACTATAAGACGAGCAAATATGCATATTGTACTATCTACTAATAACTACAGCCAAGAACTACGAAGTCGAAACTACACAACAAGTAGAACGCATTGGGCACACACAGACAATTAATTTTGCAAAAAAAGGGTCAGATAGAGAACAGTAGTATTGTCTTGGTACTACACAACAGAACAACAAGGACAATCAAGGCTTGTTTGCTGCTACTTCAAGTTTCAAGATGTTGCCTGATGATTGCGTGAGCATGAAACTTGAAGTAGCAGCAAACAAGCCTTGATTGTCCTTGCTGTTCTGTTGTGTACTACGCTCTGCCTTTGTGGTGTTGAGCACTGTCAGCACTCTGGGTACGTCCTTCGGTGTCTTGCTATTAGATAATCCAATACTTGTACAGTACTAGTGTTAGATTAACCTCCTTCTTTTATTTTTTAGGTCTGTTTTGATATTTTCTGTCTCGCCTATTCTGCAGTTGCTTGCATATAAGCACCTCATTCCCGCTCGTTCCTCGTGCTTTCTTCCATTTGGAAAATTATGGTTTTTATACATTAAATTTTGTTGAGTATGAATTTGACCCAATATTCTCCAGATACAATGGACGACGGGACAGGTAGGTGGAACGACATTTATTAGGGTAGACGAAGAGACGGAGACAAAGACGAAGAGACGGAGACAAAGACGAACTACTACGACTACATTATGATTATTGACGGGAGCGAGATTATTGAAGAGAGCGAGATCATTGAAGAGAGCGAGATGATTGAAGAGAGCGAGATTATTTTGAGAAACAACGCAATAGGGCTTGAAAGTGATGACGTCAAAACGGCCAGGGAGTACTAAGTTGACATCAGATTTATATTTTGGATCCACTAAGGTGTGACTTTGCTATTGCCTCAGTATGTGGGTGCATAGCAACCCACTCATGTCGTATGCAGGGGTGACTTTTACTTCGCGACCAGTTGTAACCCCGCCCCCAGTAGCCAAATCAGTCAGTTTCACTGGTTACATCACCTTGCTGTGAGTAAGACGGTTTGAAATGTGCTTGGATCCATACAAAAACTGGATCCAAGTGGATCCAATTTTTGAATTTTTGAAATTGTTGCTATGCTGTGACGCAGCACTTTCAAGCCCTATTGTACAGGGCCTGGGTAGCTATGGCAAACATGGGCGCGCAAGTAGCTACCCAGGCCAACGGAACGAAAGGTGAGTATGACGTAGTACGGGTGCATGCAGGCCAGCCAGCTTAGGAAAGGTTGTAGGTAAGAATGTACAGGAGGAGGTACCTATAACACATTGTGTAATAGTATTACTAGTAGTACTTAGCGTTATTTGCAAAAATAATTATCATAAATGAAAGAGAAAAGGACATATGGATACGAGTTTAGAGTAACTCTCCATCACTGTAACATGATTTCTCTTTTACATTTATTTATGGCTCAACATCCGAGTTTCAAATAAATGAAAGACATTCAAAATAGCATCAGCCACGCAACCAACCAGTTTTATCTGATGGGCACCGCGTTGCTGGTGTGGTGTGAGGCTGTACCGGCAGTCCGGCACGCATTCAGCCGCTGTATGCCCGTACTTTGCAGACTACAAATCCCATAATGCTTGCTATGGGCCAGTATGGGCCTATGCCCTGGCCACCGAGACCTGGTGCTATCATGTACACAGTCACTGACTGTGACGGAGTATGTACCTCTGCACCACCATCACAAAACGCTCTGTGGCAGACCGCTGTCAAGGTCACCAAACCCTGAGCCCGGCTGAGGCAAGATGAGACCCGGCACTGCACTGCACAGCTAGCTTCAGCTCCTACAAAATGCATGAAACATGATGATTGTTTTGCATACAATCATGTACTTTGTTGCAGACAAAAAATATTATAATTATTAAATTGTAAGAGCTTCGACTGAGTTAGAATGATGCGGGCTTTCCTGCTCGCAGGAATCTCACAGCCTGGCATTCCCCTCTAGTTGTACTGCCCTAGCACACCTCAATTCTCACGTCCATTGAAAGTTTACTTTCATGACCAATGTTTTTTAAGATGATCTTAACTTAAGGAGAGATTCCTAGACTCACTGCTTTCTTCACTCCCCTCCAGGATAACTAATCTTGTTCTTAATCTTTTCTCCCTTTCCATCGTCATAATAACATTGGGCATGATTGCCCGTTTGACTTGCGATGTAAAATAAAAGCAATACATACATACATACATACATACATACCTGCAGTCTCCATTGCAGCCATTTCCCCATTGCTCGTTTTTCTCGTTTTACCCTGATGATGGGCTCATGGCGGAAAATTTGGTGACAAGTTGATGACGTGTGCAGCAAAGAGACCGTATTTTGAGTGGTTGCAAAGAGCTAACCTAGTGAGTAACTGCAGGAATAGCGATAGGCTCCCACGTAGGGAGCAACACACAAATCCCCAAGTATCGCCGAAGTCACACCAACCTCTTCTTCACTAATGCGTAACCTTCACGAAAATCACATAGAAAGAGCCTAGCCAACGCAGGTGGTAAGGTAATTCGCCGAAGTTCAATGGACAAACGTGTCCCATGAAAAAATACAATGTCATGTAGAAGTGGAGGTCTGTAATACGATCCGAACATCATAGCGCTATGATAATGATAGGCATGAGATTGTGACAGGCACAGAGTACTGTAACGTGATGGAGAACGGAGTGCCGAAGAGCGACACGGATAGAATTTCAAAAAAGCACAGCATACCATGGTATAAGCATTGACTGAACTGTGCATAGACTGTATGCAGCACATGAACATACGAATGGCCTAGGGTAGGAGGCTGACCCGCTCCAACAGTTCTTCGGCGACCCACATGTAAAAAAAAACCTAAAAAAAGTAAATTATCGTGTCTGTTCCCGAAGGGAACTCACGACGGCTGCTAACACCCGATAAACCCACATGCACTGTGTACCATTATGTGGACTGGATAGGATGTACAACTTCGGTCTTGTGGTGAAGCTTGACGCGTACGTTGCTGAACATCAGCGCAATTGCTTCGTACATGGGGTGCATGAACGCGCGACACATGGCTCTGTACGGCACCGCCCACATGTAGATAGTCATCTTAAAGAGACGATAGAATGGGTAGTACCACCAGCTGATGAAGTGTGTGTACAGCGCAAACCAAAACGCCCACCAGAACGAGAGTAGGATGCCGAACGTCAGCGTGAAGATGTGATACCAGATGAGCTTAGAATACATGTACGTCAGTTTGTTGAAAGCGCGGCAGGTGTCCAGGATGCGAGTTTCAGGGCGCTCGTGAATAACGTCCTCGAAATCAGACTGCAGACAATTGAATGCAAAAGAAAAAAAAAGAAAGAACAAACGTCACGGTCAATGTGGGAGAGGGGAGAGAGATCCAGAAGAAACCTTCCAAAGATGATGCAATTGGCTTTTGAACGGCCCAGTGGACACCAAGCCCCTCACCCCCCACCTACGGGCGGACTTGAACGTGACCACACGTTGAAGTGAGTGCATACGTACTTCTTCGAAGTACAAGGAACAGAAAAAAGGTATTCACGTCATCAAGGTACCGTGTTCTCCGGAGTATAAGCCGCACCCACCATTTTTTTGCCACAAATTAATAGACATCTACCCTATTTATCATTGCTAATTTCATCATCGGAGTACAAGCCGCACCGCCTCTTTTTGGGTGAAATTTTGAGCGTTCAAAGTGCCGTGGCTTATAATCCGGAAAATGCAGTATCTGTCCAGGCATCCAAGTGCTCCTCGGATCAAGTGAAGGTGCTACTATGGGATTCTACTCAGGGTTGTTAGATCTACATGGATCATGCTGTTGCAAAAGAAAAAGATCCACGAGCGGGATTCGAACCCAGCACCCCTGTCTTATCGGGACAGTGCCCTGCCGATTAGGTTACCGGGAATCACACACCATGTACCACACACACACACACACACACACACACACACACACACACACACACACACACACACACACACACACACACACACACACACACACACACACGCATCCACACACACACACACACACATGCACGCACACAGACACACACACGCACACACACGCACACACGCGCACACACACACACACATGCACGCACACAGACATACACACACACGCACACACACAAACACACGCACACACACACACACACACACACACGCATACACACAAACACACGCACACACACACACCCGTGGCTCCTTCCTGCTACACTGCTCCCTGTCCCAACAGGCTTTGCCATGTCTACCGGGAGGGGGGGGGGGGGGGGGGAACGGGTCGTGGGTTCGAGCCATTACCAGGCGCCAATGTTGCAAAAGAAGCATTCACGAGCGGAAGTCAAACCCAGCACCCCTGTCTTTCCGGGACAGTGCCCTACCGATTTCGAATTAGGCTACCGGGGATCACTCACACACACACACACACACACACACACACACACACACACACACACACACACACACACACACACACACACACACACACACACACACACACACACACACACACACCCCCACACACACACACACACATACACCCACCCACACACACACACACACCCCCACACACACACACACACACACACACACACACACACACACACACACACACCCACACACCCCCCCCCCACCCCCCCCCCCCACACACACACCCGTGGCTCCTCCTTGTCACAGTTCATAGAGGTTATTCGAATGCTGTCATGGTAACGAGTCAAGCATAACCGCTTATGAGCGCGACGTATGCAACAGCAGTTGCTACTGAGTTGCCAGTGCATGATGCTGCCTTGCCTAAGCACCTCAAGTGATGACGTGACTGTACACCAGCAATCTAGGTAGGTTTCACAAGCTGCATGAATTTTTTTACTATTGACACAACCCTACTGGAAAACAGGTGAAGAACAAAAAGAAGCGAGGAAGAAGACAAACCCCAGTAGCGCGGTTTTTCCAGCCGTGCTGCTACCCACCGTCAACTGGGAGCTTGTGGCCATGCACAAGGGGTACAAAGACGTGGCCAATGGGATTTCTCAGCGCCTGTAGCAGTGGGTGTAAGACTTGTCTCCTCACACCCACCGTTAGGCGCTACATCATCATCATCTGCCGCTAGAGTTTACCACGTGTTAGCGGTGTCGTGAGTTCCCTTTGGCAATGGACTCGATAATAATATTAAGTTAATACTTATGCGAAGGGCACACTTCAAGCTTTTGAACATTTTGAAAGTTTTCACAAGTATACTTTCATGCCTTATCTATCATCAGGTGAAATACCGGCAAAATCAAATGAACAAGGACAATGAATTTAGTACAGCAGAGACACTTCAAGTTTACTAACTTAGTAGAGGAACTTACGCGAACAAACTCTTTGAGGTAATCCTCCTCTTCGTCCTCGCCCGGGGCCGCCCTGTATTGCATGTCGCCCACCAGCGAGTTACTCTCGCCATGACGATCCGTCAGCGGCGGTCGGCTAGTGTAGTATGCAGTCTCGCTGTTCGCCGTGGGGGCCGCGCCATACGACGGGGCTGCGGGCACGACACACAAACAGAGGGGGAGGGAGACACAATCAAAGACGAGACTATCCGATCATTTGGCAATCGTGCATGGTGCCTTAGTCCTACTCAGGCCTCCTTACGGGCCTACAAAGAACGTTATTGGAACGTCCATGATTGTCCGGAATAATATAATTAATGGAAGAATCCAAAGTTAGCAGTTGCCATGCAAACTACAAAATACCGTATTTCCCCGAATAAGTCGCACCTTTTTACATTCGACTTCAGGGCCAACAAACAATCGAGCATGATTACTACTGAAGTGGATATACCGAAGGGATATGACATCAACCTGAGAATAGGAGTGCGACTTGCAATTGAGGAAAATACGGCATTCACCCCCACCCCTTCGCTATTGGCAAGGCAGATCCAGTGCCTGCTCCAGAGCCGGATCAGCCGCGTCAGCCGGGTCAGCGACACGGTTGTTGGAGGGTACTTGTACCCGTTTGGAAAAAGAACACCGGTTCATCTGTGACCCTGTTGGAAATACACAGCAGGGAGTACTATTATGTACACCAGGGAGTCCTATTATGTACAGCAGGGAGTACTATTATGTACAGCAGGGAGTACTATTATGTACAGCAGGGAGTACTATTATGTACAGCAGGGAGTACTATTATGTACAGCAGGGAGTACTATTATGTACAGCAGGGAGTACTATTATGTATAGCAGGGAGTACTATTATGTACAGCAGGGAGTACTATTATGTACAGCAGGGAGTACTATTATGTACAGCAGGGAGTACTATTATGTACAGCAGGGAGTACTATTATGTACAGCAGGGAGTACTATTATGTACCGCTCCCTGATGTACATATACATGTAGTAGCCGCACTTGAACGGACCCGCCTTTGACCCGGTTGGAAGAGTTGTGCCAGGTACACGTGCACCCGGTCGGTTTGAAATCCTAGAGCAGACACTGAGATTGTTGCTATACCAGAGCGCAACTGATTACAGTAGGTCTGGCTTAGATCAACAAAGCTCCGCACCCCAGATCCCAGCCACAGGCATGCACGATTCGTAACGTTCCCCTGTTTTGTACACCCTTGCGTCGGATACGCTACGGTCACTATGGTATTGACCGTACTACTCATTGCCCGGGTGCCTTGTGAAGCAATACAAAGCACTGATCTGGGTTCTAAATTTCGAAATGGTTCAGAGGATCCTGCCTAACCCCACGACTAATTGTATTTCAGGTGGCTGACCGTACCACCCTTAAATACCTTCCCATGTACACAGTATATGTCTCTCCGTCCCTCGCCGTCGTTTCCCCTAAATGTCTTCCCTAATCTCGATCTCGTCCGCCCGTTGCTGTGAGTTCGGTGCTATCTCAGTGTCTAAGTTTCAGCAAAACTATGGCAGGGCTGAGCTGCCAGCTATAGGCTGCCTTGCATGCAATTACCAAGGCAAGCTGTAGTTACAGGGTGCCGATGATTCGCCAGGGACACAACGATATGCAATGCTCAGTGTGCTTCACAGACCACGATTTTTATGTCATTTCTGCAAACTTCCACGCTCCAATAATCTTGTGATAATTGTGATTAATAGAGGAGGGTCATGGTGATGTGGTGGGACTGAGCACACTTGCTCCACCTGAGGTCTCCACCGCTATGTTCACCGGCCAGGGTTCTAGCCAACCCCCCCCCTCCCCCACTGTGTTTTCGAGTCCCCCTGTGAAAAAGTGCCGCCCCTACTCATTTTCCGATTGTTGTATTTTTTTCAGGACCTATCACAACAATGCAGTGGACAGTCACTAACGAGAGAGCTTGGAAGCTCAGGGCCCTACGCTATGCTTTTTTGCCTTGATGACCTAGACAAAAAGAAGCATAGGGATGTTATAAATTCTTTAAAAAAATCCTTTTTTTAAGACATAATCTGGGATTCGAACCCGCACTATCGCGCGCCCTGCATGCATCCCCCGATACACTTCGCATACATACTAATTCTTCCAAGTTGTTTCACATTGTGATCTTGCATTTGAAAGCCCTATTTGAATATGCATTGTGGCCAGCCGTCTTTGATGGTACGGTACGGTAGGGGATAGGTACGGGACAGGTACGATCGAGGGTAATACGACACCGTCTCCCGTACCGTACCGTACCATCAAACACAGCTGGCTACATACAGCTGTCCGTAATATTCAAATAGGGCTTTCAAACGCAAGATAATAATGTGAAGCAACTTGGAAGAGTGGGTATGAATGCGAAGTGTATGGGGGAATGCATGTAGGACGACAGTGCGGGTTCGAATCCCAGGATATGCCTGAAAAAAATAGGAGAATTGAAAAATTTATAACATCCTATGCTTTTTTTGCCGTCAGATACGGATAGCGCCAGGCGTGACACAAACAAACACACAAACACACAAATACCAAATTAAAGCTGTGTGGACCCTGGCTAGCGCCAGACGTTACTGAAGTAACGTCTTCTGCATAGCTACGGGAATAAAGGGTTTATAAGGCACATTTGTCTTGGGTGAAGTCGGCGGTTCGCCCGTACGTTGCATTTGCATGGCAAGACAATTTTTGGAACGTGGAAAAATGGTTTTCGGGGTAAATGTGTTTCCCATCCCCCCCCCCCCCCCTACTATTTTGACCTGACTAGAACCCTGATATTGATACCCAGTGCACCAAGTGGACACGATGCTGACTGGCAAGGCACAGCCACAAACCCAACGGGCGGCCAGTACCCACACCAGCCGGGACCGTTCCGATATCGACGGTGGTAATAGGCACCCGAAAGTGCATTTGTTGCACGCCTCACCGCTGCATGTGTATACATTTTCATACCTAAATACATGTTACACAGGCGCGTGCGTCGGTGCCCTTCAATTGGGGGGTTCCGGGGGGGGGGGGTGTCCCCGGGAAATTTTTCAAAAATGAAGCAAAATCCTGCATTTTGAGCAAAAAAAGGGGGGTTCCGGGCACCCAGGAACCCATACGGGGCACGCGCCTGAATGTATGTGATTGTTCCGTACTCAGGTTTGCAAACGTTGGCAGGTACTAGTATGCGTACTTATTGCTGCAGTTGAGCTATTGAGCGGCCTAACTAGGAAATCCAGGCCCAGCACCGCAACTAGGCGTCAGTCCTTCCAAGATCTGTGAAGGGAGGCCCAAATTGAAGACCCCCCCCCGTTGGAGTCCTGGTGGTCGCAGTCAATTTATCCTTAGGCTTTTTTTCTTCTTTTTTTCCTTTTTCAATTCCCTCAACTAATGACTATAATTACGAGGTCATCAACTGCTGTACAACGGTGTCATCAATATCAATAATTATTACTACTAATTACTATAGTCACTAAGCGTAGATCTACGTGGGTACAGCTTTCCTTTGGCCGCCTACAGGCTGTAGCAATCAGTCCCGCGGCGCAGGTCCGGTTTTCACAAACTATTTACTTACTTGCCCCACGCTGAACGTCCAAAATAACTAACATCAAGCGTGATCCGCCAGCGCAGCATGGGTAGTTTCAGGTGCGCAGGTGCTATTTCAACTCATTACAATGGCGGCCCGGGTATCGCAACACCCCCGCCATGGCCAGATACAAACATTTTGGATTTACCTGCTGTGAGAGGAGCGGCCGTGGGTACCTGCTCTCCGTACGGTTTTCCGTCGCCATCCGACGCTGAGATGCTTTGATACGGCTGGGCCATTGTCACGGTATCTTCACTCTCACTCCACTCCCAGAAGCGTTCGCTTCCTTCTCCCAATCGTCGGTCAAACTCAAGAACGGGCGAAAGTAACAATTGTTGCAAGCGACGTACAGATTATGCAGGAACGAATTGAATCAACTCGGATGCAGTTCTTGCGTGTAGATCTGCGGCCAGCGCCTGAAAAGCGAAAAAGTCGGCCTGAGCTACATGTAGGATCGCAGGCGGTCGTGGTTGGACAGCTGGTAAAGTGTAGTGTCCTTACCCGTCATCTTGGACATTTTCGCTGCGAACGTGTGCGCTCACCGATCACAAACTTGTTGTTGTTGTTGTTTATTTTACTTCACCAAATGAACGGCATAGATGCCTTCTCCCCTGCCCATAGGACAGGTTCTCACAGAATGATGAAGGGATGATATGCAAGGGAAAACAAGAAATGATAATAATATAAGACAGAAAGGACCAAAAGAAGAAAAGGAAAAAATTATATGAAGACAATTTCATGGAGTCAGAAATAGAAAGACAATAATTTCATGGAGTCAAAGAATAGAAAGACAATTTCATGAAGTCAGGAATACGTGGTTGATTTTATAGACATGCATGCATGCACAAATGATTGATAGACGAGAAGGTTGGAGTTTATGGCAGATAATAAAGGTATAACGAGGATATTCACAAGGTAAGTATATCAATGGCAGAAAGAGTTTTTCGGAAGGGACCAGGGATACCTATCACTCTAAAATCAGAGGGGAGAGCGTTCCAGAGAATGCTTCCCGAAACATCATGGTCGATCGTCCCGCAGGCCCACGAAGAAAGGGAACTTGAAGCAAGTTCGACACTTGTCCCCGTGTGGTGCGCTGATCCTCCGGAACAGTCTCTGGGGCCGTTCGGGTGAATAATTGTTGAAGAAGGGGGCTACAGGAGGAGTTAATGCATCTATGAACAAATACGACAATTTTGTGTGTATAAAATGTGTATATGTATGTGGTAGACTAACAATGCTGAGCAGAGATAGCAGCGGGGCAGTTGGAGTCAAGAGCCGCTGTTGCAAGGTTGCACGGATGCCAGCTCTGAACATCTTTTCAAGCTGACCAAGCAGGTGTGCGCTAAGTCCTGGAAAGAAACTGTTTGAACCATAACACAGCTGGGAAAGGATCATGCTCAAGAACCACGTTCGCCGGGCAAGCAAACTCAGTCCTCGCCCATGCCTCCAGAGCTGACCAATTGTTCGCGCTGTCTTGCGACCAATATACTCCACATGTGGAGCCCAGGATAAATCATTATCCAGGACTAAACCAAGGTACTGGGCTGTAGGGGTCACACAAAGTTTCTCGCCATTGCAGAAGACCTCCGGTTGTATTGCAGCCGCGCCTCGTGGCCGGATGAAGAGCAATTGTGTCTTGGAAGTATTGAGGAGCAGGCCAATGTCCTCCAGCCAGGTAGCAAGGTTTGTCATGGCTTGCGTGAGGGTTCTGCACACTACAGCAGGATCAGAATGGGAGCAGTCGATGACAATGTCATCTGCAAATTCTTGGTGCTGTACAGACGGTGGCAGTATGGTGCGGAGTTCACTAGTGTAGAGCACAAAAAGCAGTGGCCCAAGGACGCTACCTTGTGGAACACCACGGGAGCAACTGATGGCTTCACTAACAGAGTCAAGAACTTTGACACTCTGGAAACGCCCTGAGAGATAGTCAGTGAACCATTCTAATGCAGTTCCAGCTATACCAAGGGAAAACAAAACTGTAACTAGACGTTCATGCTTAACACGGTCGAAAGCTTTCGACATATCAACGAACACTGTCCCAGTGAACTCTCGTTTGCATCTAGCAGTGGACCATCGATTAACAGCTAACACAAGTGCATCCTCAGTCGAATGTTGCTTGCGATAAGCAAACTGGCTGTCGGGCAATAGCTGGTGTGTCTCCAGATAGGCAGTGAGCTGTCTCTTAACCATTGTCTCCAGAATACGGGAGATAATGGGGAGGAGAGACACTGGACGATAGTTCTGGGGCAGGGTTGGGTCGCCACTCTTAAATAAGGGACTGACATGTGACACTTTGAAGGTTGGTGGAACCTGTCCAGTTCTAAGAGACTTATTGATAATGCTGGTGAGATTCGGTGCAAGAACAGAGGCATGTTGCTTGAGCAGGAAACCGGGAATCCCATCACTGCCCGTGGCTTTGCTTGCATCCACTGATTTCAGGCATGACTCGACATCTGTCACTGTGACAGGCTGGAATACATTTAAGCTGGATTGGAGGCTTGGGCCCAACGGCAGCTGGAGGTGGGGTGGACATGTTGGATCATTCACTACTCCGCCAAACACTCGACTTAGCTCTGGCAAAGGCGCTTGAGGGATTTGCGATTTCTTCCTTCTGCCGGTGACAGTATTTAGTACCCTCCAGAGTTTCCTCTGGTTGGTACTTTGGCATTGGGTGGTAAAATACTGGTTGCGCAGTTTCCTGTCAAGCTTCCTAGCCACAGAACGAGCTGATTTATGTTCCTCGCGTAATGTTGCATTACCCTGGTCCCGCATCAACTTCCGGTGTAAGCCATTGCACTTCCGTACAGCCACAACTAGTTCATTCGTCAGCCATGGGCATGGGAGACGTCGATGAGCACGCTGAGCAACTAGAGGCGCATGGTGGTCTAATGGTGATAGAAGAGACTCAGTGAAAGATGTAATCATGTCCTCCAAGTTGCCATTGTCAGGAAATGCCTGCTGATTGCGCTGGACGTCCTCCCTGAAGCGGTCCCAGTCAACGAGGTGCAACCGCCACGTGGTCGTTGGTGCTGATGAGCTGTGCTTCAGCACTCGAATATGCAAGTGGGCAAGAATCGCAAAATGGTCACTCATGTCTAAGTATACTGTTTCACAGCTGCCAACCGGTGGAGCTGATGAAAGGAGTAAATCCAGCAGTGTAGCTGAATGGGAGGTCACTCGGGTGGGAGATGTTACATAGTTGGAAAGGTTGAAGCGGCTGATAATAGAGCGCAGAGGTACTACAGTTGGCTGATCCTGGGCAAAGTCCACATTGAAGTCGCCGACAATCGTGGTAGACTTTTGCCGGCCTTCCACAGCTCGCTCGATGTTGTGTTCTAGTGATGGCCAGAAGGCAGCTGGACTGTTAGGTGGCCGGTAGCAGCAACCAATAACATGGGAGTCGTGGCCGGGAACTATAACCTCAAGCCATAGTAGTTCCAGCTCAGTTTCCAGATCGAAGCGGCGACGAACAGCCAGGGACTCGTGGCAGTATACAGCTACTCCACCACCAGGTCTATCTGGTCTGTCCTTGCGAAACAATTTGAAATGTGGTATAGCTACTTCACCATCACTGATATCGGGCTTCAACCAAGTTTCCGCGATTCCAAGAAGATGTATACCTCTGGAGGACACAAACTCCTGGACCTCAGAAACCTTCCTCCGCAGGCTGCACACATTGAGGAATGCAGTGGTCAGAACGGTCATTATGGTTGTGAGTGAGATGCAGATTGTTGACCAGCAGCATGGTCTGCCGCAGAGTTCAGATATTTGTCAAAGCTCCAAAGCCTGCAATAAACAGGCGATGGCAAAAATTTCCGCTGGACCAGTGTCTTGGAGCTGGCGTGATTAACAACCATGAATTCGAGCTGAGATGCTATCTGTTATAACGTACGCACGCAAGATTCATTCCATGCAACTCGCGTATACCACAGCAGGAAACACCATCTGGTTTGTTCTAGGATAATTTAGAAGTGAACATGTAAAATGGCAATCATGGAGAGATAAGCAGCAGAGACACGTCAGTGCTGTCGTGGCACTAATGGCGCTATGACACGACAGTATAGGCCTCGTCAGCTCGTACCAAAGTAAGACACACGTCAGCCATGCAGACGTAATGCAGAAGAAGACTGATTCATAATGAGGTAAGACTCTTCGTCATGCATGCATCAAAGGAGCGTAGAACGACACACGTAGAACACACGTAGAACGACACACGTAGCAGAACGTAGATCGTTGATCGTACGACTAATATTAATAATAGATCAATCTATAACACTATCCTCTTTGCGAAAGATCTTGCATTCATGGATGGTGACTGGAATATTCGTAGCTGAAGCTCGCTGTGCTATAAACTGGCTAAGGTGGTCACTTTCCATGTCATGCCGGAGATTGCCAGCAAAAAGGACCGCTTTCTTGCCTGTAGGCTTTGTGTTCGAGATGAGCTGCCATGCCAGATTGTCAGGCTCATCCTCGAAACACGGTAACAGCTTGCGTTCTTGGACGTCCGCGTTTTGAATCTTCGTCCTGGGATTTGAAGTAACAGTGTTCCACGTGTCGATCCAAGACCTCCACGAGATCTACGGGATGCACTACGGGATGCGCTGTCGTCCTCCGATCCCGAGTCTGTTGTTGTTGAGCTGGGTTGCTCACTTGCACCAACGGCCATATCGGGTGTGTTTGCTTGCGCGAGTTCAAGAAGGTGTGAACTCAAGTCCGTACGGGTACTCGCTTTGCTGGCTGCTGTCTGCGCTGGACTTCACAAGGATCAGACTCGCTCCAGAGGCAGAGGCGCAGCTAGCTCCGCTCAGGGGACAGTTGGAGACCATGTGAAAACCACTCATGACTTCTTGCGCTTACTGTAAATATACAAAATTTCGGCGCTGCAAAATTTCGGCACTTCACGATTTTTGACATTTCGGCGGCGATTTATTTTCGGCGTGGGGTAGAGGGCATGTATAGTGCGACAGATGCTGTGAAAAATTTCATCGGCGTTTTAATTTAGGCGTTTGGGGTCGGTGCCGAATATAGCCGAGATTAAATAGCTGCCGAAAATTTGTATATTTACAGTATGTCAGTCCAGCAGACCAGGGTTTGGAACTTTGGATCTTTGGGTCCACGCGTAGTCCGTCTACCACTTGTAATGCCGTCCATTGTGCTATGCAGCCTGTAGTTCTTCCGCCATTTTGCACTATTTTGCATGCGGACACCGTTGGCGTTGTACAGCAGTCTTTGTAGGCTACGCGTCACACGATGCCTTTGTCGCCTCTGAAGACTGAAGTGTGTGTCATGCTCCGCACACACATCATGTGATACATGCATAAGGTGTAGCTAGCCAATCAAGAGTAATTTACTGTTTATCTACTCTTGCTATTACTCATTAATGCATTAGGCATTACTTGTACAGCCAAGTCGGTTCTTCTTGTTAAGCCCGAATGCGCTGAAGCTGCACGGGCAATCTTCGCCGACACACGTGACCGATATCGTCATCAAGACGGACGGCAACCGACACCTTGGAGCCGCCCTTGGATCACCCGAGTATAGGGCCTCCTTTGCTTTGGCGAAGGTGAAGGCATGGCAAGAGGAGATCCGGGAGTTATCCACCGTGGCCTCCACCCAGCCACAAGCAGCTTACGCAGTGTACACCAACGTTCTCCGGCACAAGTGGTCATTCATCGCCCGCACAATGCCAGGAGTTGCCCCGCACCTCCAACAGCTGGAGTCCACCATCTCCGAGTCGTTTATTCCCGCTCTTCTTGGTCGTCCCCAGCCCGGAGAGACGGAACGCCAAGTTCTCGCGCTCCCAAGCCGCTACGGAGGCATGGGGATTGTCTCCCCAGTATCTCTTGTGAACCAGTTTCCTTCCTCACTTACGATCACCGAGAGCTTAGTTCAGCGCATTTTGAACCAGGATACACCGCCACAGGAGGAGGCGGACAACACCAGGGCAGCCAAAGCTAAAGCCAGGGCAGACGCCAGAAAGAAGGAGCAGCGTCATGCCAAGGAGGTGTACCGCGATGGCGTGGATGGAGACCTGCAGAGGTCCATGGATCTTTCGGCCGAAAAGGGTGCGTCGAACTGGCTCACCTGTCAACCACTCAAGCAGCATGGGTTCTCGCTACACAAGGGCGCGTTTCGAGATGCTGTCTGCCTCCGCTACGGGTGGACTCCGCCCCACCTCCCCCAGAGCTGTGCCTGTGGACCTGCCTTCACTGTCCCGCACGCCTTGTCTTGCCCAGTAGGTGGCTATCCGTCTCTGCGGCACAACGAGCTGCGGGACTTGACGGCTACCATGCTCACATCAGCAGCTCATGATATCAGCATTGAGCCACGCCTTCAGCCGTTATCTGGTGAGAATTTTCATCACCGGACGGCTATCCGTGAGGATGGTGCCAGGCTGGATGTTGCTGCCAGCGGGGTATGGGGTGGCCGGTTTGAGGGAGCTTTCTTTGATATTCGGGTGTTCAACCCTCATGCTCGTTCGAACTCGGTCCACTCCATCCCCGCCGCATACGCAAAGCATGAGCGTGAGAAGCGTCGGCATTATGAGGAGCGTGTTCGTGAGGTGGAGCATGCCACCTTCGTTCCCCTAGTATTCAGTGCCACCGGAGGCCAAGGCAAGGCGGCAACTGCCCTTTACAAGCGGCTCGGACTGATCATCAGCGACAAGAAGAATGAGCCTTACTCCATCACAATGGCATGGATCAGATGCAGGTTGGGGTTCGCCCTTCTTCGCTCGGCCATTATGGCCCTCCGAGGACACCGGTCCCGGAGCAGAGTTGCAGTAGCTCAACCATCATCGACCGAACTGGTGGCTGCTGAGTGCAATTTGCATTTCTGAACTGTGGCATGTGCGTAGCACTCAAACCTGTGAACATGATTGTGCGCACTGCACTGTCTGTCTTTAATGCTCCTCATTGTTTTTTTGTTTTTTATTTTTTTACCAGGCGTGGGCCATCCCCTGATGTCATAGGTGCCAACTGTACTGCTGCATGTACATGTAGTAGATTACTTGTACTCATTATGCATGAAAGTACTAGTAGTCTGTACCGCGGGCTTGAAAGTCATATCCGTCACAGGATCACTACGTCACGGGATCACGTGCAACGTGAACTGGATCCACTAGTACCCACTCGAGCTCTTGTGACCAGCTTTGAAAATAGTGGAGGAGACATATATTTCTTTCGATTTCGACCAGAAGCCTAGGCTGCTGTCTTCCCCCTGGCCCCCAGTTCTGCGTTTTGTTTGTTTTAGAATGTCTTTAGTACCGTTATCTAGCATCGCCACTTTTTTCAGTGGAGAACCAAGGCTGATCCAGCGTGGAGAAAATGCACACTCTTCGAACCGCGTGGAATCATTTCTGTTTCACCATGAGCTTGGGCACATTACTGCCAAGATCCACGCAAGCCGGACAAGAGATATGATGTGGAGGTGAGCAACCTAGCACTAAACAACTGTTGTGCCGTTCCTAGCTGCCTACAGTCTCTTCTATCGACCTGGACACCCTCACTTCGTCTTTGAATTTTTCTCCTATTTTTATATTCAAATTTTTGTGTAGATCGAACTTGGTTCTGAAGGTGGCGTTGTACGCGCTTCGTGCACTTGTCCCAAAGGCCAAGGACGGTGCCACCACATGGCTGCAGCCCTTGTCTACGCGAACAAGAATGTGAGCAGCACGGACAGGGAATGTTCTTGGACTGTACGGAAGGGAACCAATGAAACAAAGTAAGGATTTTCAAGCAAATTATTGTTGATTATCACTCCCTTAGTATTGACTCACATAGATTTTTGCCATACCTAAGCAGTCAAATATTCCTGCATATTTCACTCCTTAGGGCTATATTGACTGCTTATATTTGACTGCTTAGGGGTTGCGCAGTTGAACGGTGCGTACAAATTGTAGTGAAGCATTGTCACTGCATGAGTAGGTGGTGGTGCAACGGTTGTGCAATCATAAAACCGGGATTCATGAGGTTATCGTTCTGGAATTTGAAATACGGACTGTTTGTCGTGATAAATCTAATATTGACTTCGTACTTGGTCAGTATAGGAAATAAAAACCTCGTAAAAGACCTCGGCTTCGCCTCGGTCTTTCACTCGGCTTTTATTTCCTATATTGACCTCGTACTCAGTCAATATTAGATACTTATTAGTTTTGTGAAAGTAGAAAACTGGTGCCTCCGATGTGACTGCAACACGTACATGTATTGATTTCATGAAATTCTTTGCCTCGATGTTTAGCTTACTGGCAATCCAGCATGTGCGACAACCAGTTGGTAGGTGTCACTGTTACCGATGTGGAGGATGCTTATCAATATTAGCAAGAGTAGATAAACAAGAGTGTGCAACTCCGGATCTCTCCTGCACAATCTGCAGATACCGCGGCCCGCGGGCGGAATTTTTTGTTGACATCACCTTTTTTTACAGAGCATGCGGATTTAGCCGCAGGGCAGTGTACGAGCAGGTGCTGGGCACCGACCTTGTAATGTAAAGCCTGGCCAAGTGCACGAGGCAAAGCTTCCCAAAAGGCTCGCAGCGTGTCCGTCATAGAAAAGATTACGTCAACAAAAAATTCCGTCGTGGGCCAACCCATCCGCGAGTTGCACACTCTTGTTTATATACTTATTGATATTAGTATACGCACGTCCGCGTTTACGTCAACAGCAAGTCCACGTATTCACATATGCCAGAAGACAGGCAGATTCTTGATATTAGCAAGAGTATAATAATTATAACCCCCAAGAGCGTGCAACTCATGATACCCTTTCTATGGGGTACGCCGACGGCGAAAGCTCACATCACGTGATGCAGTGTCGCAGTTGTATGTTTCCAGCCCGTTTTTAGCGAGCAACGGAGTAATAAAAAGCACTGTGTGTGTGTGTGTGTGTGTGTGTGTGTGCACGCATTTTATCTGCTTTGTAGGACTGTGGATGACATTTTCCCGAAGTCGAAGCCGTTTTGTGGCATTTCACATACCTGCAGGCTCCATTACAGCCATTTTCCCATTGTAGCCATTTTCCCATTGCAGCCATTTTCCCATTGCAGCCATTTTCCCATTACAGCCATTTTCCCATTACAGCCATTTTCCCATTGCTCGTTTTTCTCGTTTAACCCTGATGATGAGCCCATGGCGGAAAATTAGGTGACAAGTTGATGACGTGTGCAGCAAAGAGACCGTATTTTGAGTGGTTGCACAGAGCTAACCTAGTGAGTAACTGCAGGAATAGCGATAGGCTCCCACGTAGGGAGCAACACACAATTCCCCAAGTATCGCCGAAGTCACACCAACCTCTTCTTCACTGATGCGTAACCTTCAAGAAAATCACATAGAACTAGCCTAGCCAACGCAGGTGGTAAGGTAATTTGCCGAAGTTTAATGGACCAACGTGTCCCATGAAATATATATGTAGAAGTGGAGGTCTGTAATACGATCCGAACATCATAGCGCTATGATAATGATAGGCATGAGATTGTGACAGGCACAGAGTACTGTAACGTGATGGAGAACGGAGTGCCGAAGAGCGACACGGCTAGAATTTCAAAAAAGCACAGCATACCATGGTATACGCATTGACTCAACTGTGCATAGACTGTATGCAGCACATGAACATACGAATGGCCTAGGGTAGGAGGCTGACCCGCTCCCCCAGTTCTTCGGCGACCCACATGTAAAAAAAACCTAAAAAAAGTAAATTATCGTGTCCGTTCCCGAAGGGAACTCACGACGGCCGCTAACACCCAATAAACCCACATGCAGTACTGTGTACCATTATGCGGACTGGATGGGATGCACGACTTCGGTCTTGTGGTGAAGCTTGACGCGTACGTTGCTGAACGTCAGCGCAATTGCTTCGTACAGGGGGTGCATGAAGGCGCGACACATGGCTCTGTACGGCACCGCCCACATGTAGATAGTCATCTTAAAGAGACGATAGAATGGGTAGTACCACCAGCTGATGAAGTGCGTGTACAGCGCAAACCAAAACGCCCACCAGAACGAGAGTAGGATGCCGAACGTCAGCGTGAAGATGTGATACCAGATGAGCTTAGCCCAGGTGTACGTCAGTTTGTTGACAGTGCGGCAGGTCTCCAGGATGCGAGTTCCAGGTTGCTCGTGAATAACGTCCTCGAAATCAGACTGCAGACAATTGAATGCAAAAGAAAAAAAAGAAAGAACAAACGTCACGGTCAACGTGGGAGAGGGGAGAGAGATCCAGAAGAAACCTTCCAAAGATGATGCAATTGGCTTTTGAACGGCCCAGTGGACACCAAGCCCCTCACCCCCCAACTACGGGCGGACTTGAACGTGACCACATGTTGAAGTGAGTGCATACGTACTTCTTCGAAGTACAAGGAACAGAGAAAAGGTACTAACGCCATCAAGTACCATATTCTCCGGAGTATGAGCCGCACCCACCATTTTTTTGCCACAAATTAATAGACATCTACCATATTTATCATTCCTAATTCATCATCGGAGTACAAGCCTCTTTTTGGGTGAAATTTTGAGCATTCAAAGTGCCGCGGCTTATAATCCGAAAAATGCAGTATTTGTCCAGGCATCCAAGTGCCACTACTCCTCGGATCAAGTGAAGGTGCTACTATGGGATTCTACTCAGGGTTGTTAGCTCTACAGTCCATTTCAAAACTATAGACGCGTACCTAGGCAAACACCGTTATGCCAGCATCTATACCACATAAACTCTGTGATCACTTTGTGCATAATTTTTTCCAAATTGGGTGTCTGTTATCCAATCGTTTAGAAACTATATGAGAGTAATTGTGGAGCGGACCTGAGCAATATTCCGAAACCTATTCTCAAGAAGTTCCAGCCAAATTTGAAATATTTCAAAAACCCTACCCGTCTATAGTTTTGAAAAATGGACTGTACGTGGATCATGCTGTTGCAAAAGAAAAGGATCCACGAGCGGGATTCGAACTCAGCACCCCTGTCTTATCGGGACAGTGCCCTACCGATTAGGTTACCGGGAATCACACACCATGTACCACACACACACACACACACATGCGCGCGTGCGCGCGCGCACACACACACACACACGTGCGCACACACACACACAAACGCACACACACACAAACGCACACACACCCACGGCTCCTTTCTGCTACACTGCTCCCTGTCCCAACAGGCTGTGCCGGGGGCGGCGATGGGTCGTGGGTTCGAGCCATTACCAGGCGCCAATGTTGCAAAAGAAGCATTCACGAGCTGAATTTAAACCCAGCACCCCTGTCTTTCTGGGACGGTGCCCTACCGATTTCGGATTAGGCTACCGAGGATCACACACACACACCCACGCACGCACACACACACACACACACACACACACACACACACACACACACACACGTGGCTCCTTCTCACTACAGTTCATATCATGACTATTCGAATGTTGTCATGGTAACGAGTCAGCATTACCGCTCATGAGCGCTACGTATGCAACAGCAGTCGTTAGTGAGTCACTAGTGCACCACGCGATGAGCGCTACGTATGGAACACAAGTTGCTACTGAGTCGCCAGTGCACGACACAACTCTGCCAAAGCATCTCAACTGATGACGTGATTGTACACCAACAATCTAGGTAGCTTTCACAAGCAGCATGAATTTTTTACTATTAACACAGCCCTACTGGAAAACAGGTGGAGAACAAAAAGAAACGAGGAAAAAAACAAAACACAGAAACGCAGTTCAAGTTTTCCAGCCGTGCTGCTACCCACAGTCAACTGGGAACTTGTGGCCAGGCACAAAGGGTACAAAGATGTGGCCAATGGCATTTCTCGGCACCTGTGCCAGTGGTTGTAAGGCTTATCTCCTCACCCCCAACGTTAGGCGCTGCATCATCATCATCTGCCGCTAGAGTTTACTGCGTGTTAGCGGTGTCGTGAGTTCCCTTTGGCAATGGACACGATAATATAATGTTGATACTGATGTGAAGGGCACACTTCAGGCTCTCGAACATTTTGAAAGTTTTCACAAGTATACTTTCATGCCTTATCTATCATCAGGTGAAATACCGGCAAAATCAAATGAACAAGGACAATGGATTTTAGTACAGCAGAGACACTTCACTTTTACTAACTTAGTAGAGGAACTTACGCGAACAAACTCCTTGAGGTAATCCTCCTCTTCGTCCTCGCCCGGGGCTGCCCTGTTGTGCGTGTCGCCCACCAGCGAGTTACTCTCGCCATGACGATCCGTCAGCGGCGGTCGGCTAGTGTAGTATGCAGTCCCGCTGTTCGCCGTGGGGGCCGCGCCATACGATGGGGCTGCGGGCACGACACACAAACAGAGGGGGGGGGGGACACAATCAAAGACGAGACTATCCGATCAGTTGGCAATCGTGCATGGTGCCTTAGTCCTACTCAGGCCTCCCTACGGGCCTACAAAGAACGTTATTGGAATGTCCATGATTGTCCGGAATAATAAATGGAAGAATCCAAAGTTAGCGCTTGCCATGCAAACTACAGGCAAAATACCGTATTTCCCCGAATAAAAGTCGCATCTTTTTACACTCGACTTGAGGGCCAACAAACAATCGAGCATGATTACTACTGAAGTGGATATACCGAAGGGATATGACATCAACCTGAGAATAGGAGTGCGACTTGCAATCGTGGGAAATACGGTACAGGTCGTCCCCCGTTAATACGAGTCCGGTTAGTACATAAACCCCGTTAGTACATAAGAAATCTCAAGTCCCGGACGAAACGTGGTCACTTCCATACAAATTTTGTCGGTTAGTACATAATTCGTTAGTACATAAACCCCGTTAGTACATAACATTTCTCCGTACCCGCATGCCACCTACCTCAATAGTACATAATTTGTTGTTCTTTTGGCCTTCCAGTGGAGGCACATCGTGTTCTAGTTTCTACTTGTGGACGCAATTAGCTCAGAAATCAGAGCGCACATCACAAACCGACAAAGCTCTGTTGTTTTTTCGAGTGACTGTACAGGCGCCGCTGGGCATGTATCATGTAAACTGTAGAATCTTCGCAGACTGTGACCGTTATAACATAATTTTTATGTTATATCGAGGGAATCAAGAATATCTCGCTCCCTAGTCATGGCAGCAAGAAACACTCAGAAAAGTTGAAAAAAGTGAAAAATTCTGGTATACAAGCAAGTTATGTACACTGTCGTTTAGTACATAAACCCCGTTAATACATAACATTTGTCAAGTCCCAGAGATTATGTATTAACGAGGGACGACCTGTATTCACTACTTTACTACTTACTACCCTTACCCTTACTACCCTTCACTACTAGCAAAGCAGATCCAGTGTCTGCTCCAGAGCCGGGTCAGCCGGGTCAGCGACACGGTTCGGAGGTACTTGGACCCGTTTGGAAAAAGAACACCGGGTCATCTGTGACCCTGTTGGGAATACACAGCAGGGAGTACTATTATGTACAGCAGGGAGTACTATTATGTACAGCAGGGAGTACTATTATGTACAGCAGGGAGTACTATTATGTACAGCAGGGAGTACTATTATGTACAGCAGGGAGTACTATTATGTACAGCAGGGAGTACTATTATGTACAGCAGGGAGTACTATTATGTACAGCTCCCTGACGTACATGTACATGTAGTAGCTGCACTTGAACGGACCCGCCTTTGACCCGGTTTGAAGAGTTGTGCCAGGTACACGTGTACCCGGTTGGTTTGAAATCGTAGAGCAGACACTGAGATCGATGCTATACCAGAGCGCGGCTGTTTAAAGTTGGTCTGGCTTAGATCAACAAAGCTCCCCACCCCAGATCACAGCCACAGGCATGCACGATTCGTAACGTTCCCCTTTGTTGTATGCCCTTGCGTCGAACACGCTACGGTCACTACGGTATTGACCGTACCACTCATTGCCCGAGTGCCTTGTGAAGCAATACAAAGCACTGATCTGGGTTCTAAATTTCGAAATGGTTCAGAGGATCCTGCCTAACCCCATGACTAGTGCTCAGTGTGCTTCACAGACCACGATTTTTATGTCATTTCTGCGAACTTCCACGCTCCAATAATCTTGTGATAATTATGATGAATAGAGGAGGGTCATGGTGATGTGGTGGGACTGAGCACACTTGCTCCGCCTGAGGTCTCCACCGCTATGTTCACCGGTCAGGGTTCTAGCCAACCCCCCCCCCCCCCCCCACTGTGTTTGCGCGTCCCCCTGTGAAAAAGTGCCGCCCCTACTCATTTTCCGATTGTTGTATTTTTTCAGGACATATCACAAAAATGCAGTGGACAGTCACTAATAAAGGGTTTATAAGGCACATTTGTCTTGGGTGAAGTCGGCGGTTCGCCCCGTACGTTGCATTTTGCATGGCAAGACAATTTTTGGAACATGGAAAAGTGGTTTTCGGGGTAAATGTGTTTCCCATTCTCCCCCCCCCCCCCCACCCTGCTATTTTGACCTGACTAGAACCCTGATATTGATACCCAGTGCACCAAGTGGACACGATGCTGACTGGCAAGGCACAGCCACAAACCCAACGGGCGGCCAGTACCCACACCAGCCAGGACCGTTCCGATATCGACGGTGGTAATAGGCACCCGAAAGTGCATTTGTTGCACGCCTCACCGCTACATGTGTATACATTTTCATACCTTAATTAGGCACTTCAGTCACGTGACAGGACCTGTCAAAATTTGCTAAGGTGAGAGTGCGTACTTGCGTGGCACCAGTCAAGTGCAAGCGCAAAACTGTACAGGTACGCGCTATGCTTCGTTGTACGGGCTGATAGTTGGGCGCATCGTGTTGCTCTGACGTTCAGCTTTCAGTAGATCCCGCATACGTCATAGTGCGTACATTTTTGCGAGTTGTAGATCACGTACACTACCAGCAAAGAGTTTTTTCACAAAGAACTGTTGTTTGCTCGCGTTTGAAACGCTGCTTATCGTCTTCAGCGTCGTCTTTCCATTCGGAAACAGTAGAGTTCTTGTTTGCCAGGGCTTGCGCATCGCTGCGCAAGGAGACATTATGTACGTAGGCACTGAGAAGTATGCGCTTTAGGCGGAGGAGAACGACGATGCGTCGTCCTACCTGGGCGAATTCTCAAAGCGTACTGAAAGCCAAGTTTTGACACGGTTGCGCTGAAAGGCCTACTGATGTTTACGAACAATCAAAAGGCACAGTGGCTGCTGGAGAAACCCTCTGATGAGGGGATGCTTTGATATACGCAGCCAGGCACGCTTCACCAAAATTTCAAAGCTCACCAGGCAATTCATGACTGCTGCATGGAGCAGTTGAAGGAGAGGGAGGCAGATATCACACCAGGGAAAGAAGCTACCAACAGAGGTCCTGAGGAACTTCTTGCCAACTTGGAATCACTTGAGATGGCATGACTGTGGGCATGAATGTCCTGTGCAGTAATTCGCGCGCGCGCGCGCGCGCGCGTACTTTCCCTCCACGTTGCGGTGTACGGCGTACAACGAGGAAGTTCTCTGTTGTTTTTGTGCCAGAAGAATGTCTTTCTAGCTCTTACGCTTTAGTACCCGCAGGAGCCTGCCAGTATGTCGTTATCAGTTCATTTCACAGCAAACTGAAGCTGTTACTATGAGTTACTATGGCGTTGCTATGGGTTGCTATGGAGTTGCTATAGTGATTGCGGTCACAATTGTCGTATTCTTGCCTATTCTGAACTTTGATCTGTATTGTTTCGATCCATACAGGGTTGTTGGTGTAAGTGAGTGATGTGTGCTTGAAAAAAACACTCTGATGTTTTGTGACTATATCCACTGATGATACTTCGGAGATGCTGTTGGTGCCACAAATTGTATTGATTTCGCCTTATGCAACTGCCTATCTTCAACCCTTCATATCTGAGTGGTATCACTGTGGATTTCAATGAAATTTTCTGTGTGACCTTGTGATACCCACCGCCATCGATTACCGATGATAAACCTGGAAAAACGCGATTTCAAAAAATGGGGTGAAGTGCCTACCTTAATGCATGTACAGGCGCGTGCGCCGGTGCCCTTCAAGAGGGGGGGGGGGTTCCGGGGGGCGTCCCCAGGAAAATTTTCAAAAAATGAAGCAAATCCTGCATTTTGGGCGAAAAAGGGGGGTTCCGGGCACCCAGGAACCCATACGGGGCACGCGCCTGATGTATGTGATTGTTCCGTACTCAGGTTTGCAAACGTTGGCAGGTACTAGTATGCGTACTTTTTGCTACAGTTGAGCAATTGAGCGGCCTAACTAGGAAATCCAGGCCCAGTACCACAACTACAGTCGTCGCCAAAAAAATCCGGCCAATGCCAAGTATGCGCGTACATAGGTATGGTAGGTAGATCTACGCGGTACTTCATCGCGCGCGGGTTCATGCACTGGAGTGGCACATGCACTAGACTAGTCTAGTCTACAGCCTCGGCCACTGCCACTGCCACTGGACAGCATGCACTGAACAGCTGCGCCGCACTCTGCCTGCATGCAGTCGGGTTGAGCACTGCGCCGAGCCTGAGTCTGACTCTGAGTGAGTGTAGTCGTGTAGATCCACTATACGTGTAGAAGGCGACGGTTTCAAATAGGACATACCGGTAGGTTGCAAACCGGAACGGACTCAACTCTCTCTCTTAGTATTGTGATTCAAGAGAAAACATATGTCACAGTGAGACTACGATGTGTTATAACTTATACTCCAAGCTAAAATTTCATGGCTCTGCGATGACCAGAAGCGCCACACCAAGCAGGTGAGTTTTTGACGTGTTGCTTCGCACTGCGACCTTTTACGACTTTCGAAAAATCAACTTCTTGTCGCAGGTAAACAGCGGCTCGCCTCTCGCCAATAAAGCACCGCATACCAATCAAAACTAATGGAGAAGCACACACAAGGCTTATTGTTACTCTGAACTGGCCGTCGTGGAGCGATAGCAATTACCTAATTTCAGACTAAGAGTGAATTTGACGTGCACTCTAAAACCTTTCCGATTTGGAGCCACCTCTGATTTGAAGCGAAAAATTGGGCAACTTGGAGGCAATGGGTCAACACAAAGGAGTGGTTCAGTTCGATTGACTCTGGCCTCAAAGCAAACTTCAACATGCCAGTTTCCTTCCACAAACATATTTCGAGAGAACAATCAACGGTGATGATAGGTTTGCATGGTTTGGGCCTATACAAATTTGGCTGACCTGTCAAGCCATTCTGGTATTGAACCGTCGCCTCTACATGGTGTATGTGGGCCTAGCCTATCAGCATGTGAACAGTGAAGTAACTGCATTACATGCAGACCCGGTCCACTATGAGTATGAAGTATGATATAGTGCATGCGGCCCATTACAGCTACCGGTAGCTAGCATTGCATTTGGCCGGATTTTTTTGGCGACGACTGTAGGTTTCAGTCCTTCCAAGATCTGTGAAGGGAGGCCGAAATTGAAGACCCCCGTTGGAGTCATGGTGGTCACAGTCAATTTATCCTTAGGCTTTTTTCTTCTTCTTTTTTTCCTTTTTCAATTCCCTCAACAAATGACTATAAACGAGGTCATCAATATCAATACTTTATTACTACTATAGTCACTAAGTGTATGTGTGTACAGCTTTCCATTGGCCGCCTACAGGCGGTAGCAATCAGTCGCGCGGCGCAGGTCCGGTTTTCACAAACTATTACTTGCCCCACGCTGAACGTCCAAAATCGCGGTCAGGTTCGAAACACAGTCATCATCCGAATGATGCCAATACCCTACATGGCGCAATCAATCTTGTCGGAATGACACCGAGCAAACGCTGAAGACTCAAAGTCATGACAAAATACTCCTCGTACTGAGTCGTAGTAACTAACATCAAGCGTGATCCGCCAGCGCAGCATGGGTAGTTTCAGGTGCGGAGGTGCTATTCCAACTCAACATTACAATGGCGGCCCGGGTATCGCAACTCCCCCGCCACGGCCAGATACAAACATTTTGGATTTACCTGCTGTGAGAGGAGCGGCCGTGGGTACCTGCTCTCCGTACGGTTTTCCGTCACCATCCGACGCTGAGATGCTTTGATACGGCTGGGCCATTGTCACGGTCTCTTCACTCTCACTCCACTCCCAGAAGCGTTCGCTTCCTTCTCCCAATCGTCGGTCAAACTCAAGAATGGGCGAAAGTAATTAGTCGCAAGCGACGTAAAGATTATGCAGGAACGAACTGAATCAACTCGGATGCAGTTCTTGCATGTAGATCTGCGGCCAGCGCCTGAAAAGCGAAAAAGTCGGCCTGAGCTACATGTATTGTAGGATCGCACGCGGTCGTGGTTGGACAGCTGGTAAAGTGTAGTGTCCTTACCAGTCAGGCGTCATCTTGGACATTTTCGCTGCGAAGGTGTGCGCTCACCGATCACAAACTTCACAAGGATCAGACTCGCTCTCCAGAGGCAGAGGCGCAGCTAGCTCCGCTCAGGGGACAGTTGGAGACCATGTGACAACCAGTCATGACTTCTTGCGCTTATGTCAGTCCAGCAGACCAGGGTTTGGGTCTTTGGATCCACGCGTAGATCTACGTAGATCTACGCGTAGTCCGTCTACCACTTTACTTGTAATGCCGTGCTGTAGATCTACAGCCTGTACTAGTGTAGTTCTTCCGCCAACCACAGACACTATTATTTTTGCGTGCGGACACCGTAGTACAACATTTTGCATTGTACTTTGTACTTGTACTTGTAGGCTCACGATCACACGATGCCTTTGTCGCCTTGATCGTGTGTGTCATGCTCCGCACGCACATGCATAATAATGTGTAGCTAGCCATTACTCATTAGGCATTGTACTAGTACTCTGTACCGACGGTCCGTCCTTATGAATACCGAGTGACATACGCGATTGCACGCCGGCGCGGTTTCGCACCTCACCTTTCTACGTCATCGCGTCGCGTGTCTACGTCATAGCATGCTACTGGCATTATGCGCATGCACATAGTCATTCAGTGACACTGACAGCGTCCATGAATCCAGTACGGCAGTAGTACAGATGTCATGACCGGGGAGTGGGCCAGACATACTCTCAGGATTCTACAATTCCAGGTTCTTTATGGAAATATACCAGGAGTCCAGATACCCATTCTCCACCCTCACCACACAAGAAGACCAAAGCTTCACTCCAGGACTACATTGTAATTTCCAAGCACAAGCAACAACATTCAACAACAACAACCACAAGCAATCGACGCAAAGCATCGAGCTATAATAATAATAGTTATACCACAAGTACGAGTAGCGTGCACGGAGCGAAGCGAGCGAGCGACCAGCCAGAAAAGCATGAATGGTGAGAGGTTTCACAACACTGTTGATCGACGAGACACATCGCAGCCACGGCAAACACTTGATAAAGGTACATGTAGGGGCAGACGGAATACAATACAGACTGAGATAATGACATTGTAGCAACACACAGACACGACATCTCCCCCGCCTACGAACATGCTACGTCCTCGTAAACAGAAGAAAATTAACGGCACTGAAAAAGAAAGCAAAACAATAAAACTCTTGAAAACTTTAAAGGAAGGAACCAACCTCTTCCGACCCAAGAACCAAATAGCCCGTCCCTGTATACATTCACGCGATTACTCCTCTCGCTATCATATTATCACACCTCTCTCCACTTAGATATACCAGCGCTGCCTCCTATTCCATTATCGTTGTCTGATGATTGGTTCAGCCATGAAACTCGGAGTCACAACGGAATAAATTTGCCAAGGTTTTCATTGTGTGCCTTTGTGTACGCCGCTCTGCCTGAATCAGGCATTGAGCACTCTTGCAGAACCAAAGCATATTGCCTCTGTGTTGGTGGACAGTTAGTCATAACTCGTAACATTTTGTCCTTCTCCTTTTTCACCGTAGGAGCAGACGGGAAACAATGCAGATAATGACATTGTAGCAACACACGGACGCGACACAGACAATATTCACAATGTAGATATAGGTCCGCGGACTACGAAGTCCTTGGCTTCAGCCTTCAGTACACAGTCACAGGTGGTTGCCTTTCTCAAGTACCAAGTTGGGCAATAACCATGGTAACACGTACTAGGTCGAGGCTGAGGACCCTACTTCACTCATTCCGAGGCACGACCACCTCGGGAATTCCTCAGAGGAATTGCACATAACCTGGCCTTCAACGTTGTGGAGTGAGTAGCTGGAATTGCAGCATTTTCGCTGCTTGTCTATTGTTCCTCATTGATCTGCTCACCTCTGTACACAAATGGAGACCGCCTCGATAGGCCTAATGGCCTCTGGCCAGTCTGTGGAATATATGTACCGGTTTATTAAAATTCAAAATTCTCTCCGTCCCTCTATATTTTTTTCTTTCTTTCGGTGAGATGTCTGTTCGGCGAATTGGCCGCTCGGTGAACTGTCATTCTGTGAGTTGTGCATTCGGTGAAATGGGCATTCTGTGAACTGGGTATTCCGTGAGCTGTTGTTCCGTGAGATGTCGCTTGGTGAACTGTCGTTCGGTGATATGTCGGGACACCCACCAGCTCAGGTCGTCGTCGAAAATGACACCAAAGTATTTTGCGGATGACACTGTGGCAAGCTCATCTCCATTGCAGCAGACGCGATCGACTGGATCTTGTTGCCCTCGAAGCTTCAAGAACATTACTTGGGTCTTCTTCTTGTTCAGAAGGAGACGAATGTCTCCAAGCCATTCCGCTAGCGCGGTTACTGCGTTCAAGAGGAACTGCACAACAAGTGCTACATTTGCGTGTGAAAATTTTATTACGATGTCGTCAGCAAACTCCTGATGGGCGAAGCGGCTGATAGGATGTCGCTAATGGCTCTAGTATAATAGGAGAGGGCCAAGGACTTGCGGCACGCCTCGGCTGCAAGCTGTTTCGGGCGATAACTCGGCTCCAACCTTTATCCGCTGGTGCCGACCGGACAGGTAGCTCACGAGCCACTCCAGAACCTTGCCGTGAAAACCCAGTGAGTGTAGGTCTATGACGAGACGTTCATGTTGGACTCGGTCGAACGCTTTAGACATGTCGACCATCACAACACCGACCGTTTTTCGCTGGGACTGTGCGTCTTTCCATCTGTCCACCGCTAAAACCAGCGCATCCTCAGTAGAGTGGGCTCGGCGGTACTAGTAAGAAAACTGCTTGCTGGGGAATAGACCCTGGTCGCTCAAGTACCGATCCAGCTGATCCTTGACGAGTTTCTCTAACAAGCGTGAGATGATGGGAAGTAAGGAAATCGGACGATAATTGCTGGCGGCTGTAGGTGATCCCGACTTCAAAAGTGGAGATACATACGAGAGTTTAAATGCTGTTGGAACTTCCCCCGTCTGCAAAGAGTGGTTGAATATTGCGCTCAAGGTCGGTGCCAGTGTGCGGGCAGCCATCTTCAGAACCAATCCGGGAACGCCGTCGCTACCAGTAGCCTTACTTGGGTCGATGTTCGTTAACAGTTTCACTACTTGCTCTGTGGTGCATGGTTGGAAAGTGAGAAATCCAGGTTCATTGTGGGGACCGTGAGGGACGGAGAGGACGTCAGGACGTCGAGCATCCGTGACGATTTCACCAAACGTCTTGATGAGATCATCGAGTGATGCCTGTGGCTCTTGATGCGACTTCGACCTGCCAGTGACTTTATCGATGATAGACCAAAGTTTGTGGGAGGGAGTCGTGCAGCATTTGTTCATGAAATACGCATTTTGAAGCTGTCGGTCCAAGCGCCTAGTATCTCGGCGAGCTAGTTTGTGCTGATTTCGCAGGTCTTCATTTGTTGGATCTCTTACAACTTGCTTGTGAAGCGCGTTACGCCTGCGGACAAGTTGAACTAAGTTATCAGTTAGCCATGGGCATGGTCGCCGTGTACGATTCTTCGGCAGCATCGGGGCGTGCATATGGACTCCCCCCCCCCCCCCACTTCAACTTGCACTGTCCTGTGCGTGGTATCTGTACTAATTTTGTTGCTTTCTCCTGCCCACGTTTCCCGTTGCAATCCTAGAATACTGTCGTGGACATGCACGAAATCCGGTCGAATGGCCGGGGCAGGCACCCGGCTTACTTGCTTAGCGTGTGCACGCACCCAGTGTAACACTGTAAATTAAAATATCGGACCAGCAGAGCTCACGGCTGCACGGACAGCGCTCCGTGACCGCTTGACTCCTCGACGGATTTCAATTTCCGCAACCGGGAGGTAACATTCTCATTGTCGCCAGCGTTTTGTTTAATGGTTGGCGAAATGCCATTAAGTCAAACTGCACTGTGAAAAACCGAACCAAAATTGAGTTATCTCTGAGACTGGTTCAGTGCTAAGGCTGGGTTTAGTGTATGGTGATAGGATAGATAGTTTAAAACGGTAGCATGCGTCCATGGGAAAGGCAAATTGGCGGGGGCGTATGCATGCGATGATAGCAATTGTGAACGAGCGGCGATAAAATCAACAAGCTTGCAGGTCTGCGCGTGCGCCTGTGTGTGTGCATGTGTGTATGTGTGTGCGTTTGCGTGTAAATTGCAAACTGCAAGGCAGAAGGTGCGCCTGCCAAGCCTTGGCACTCCCTATGCTTGCGTGTGTGCACGTGAAGTGATGAGTGAAAATGCCTGTTTAACTGTAAGGTGAGTCAATTGAGGGTGAGGCAATTCAATTCAAAACATCTGAGAGAATTAGAAAGCATAAGAATCCGTTGGAAAGCTAGTATTCGCAAATGGGCCATGTGGCCGAAAAAAACCAGTCGTGTCACAAAGACCTGTACACTATAACCTAATAACATTATTATGCTGTCTATACGCTCTCAATCATATTCAAACGTTTACAAATCGTTTGCTCATTCAATCGATGCATTTGTACATAATGTCCTTGACTATGCCGAGGCTCCACTGCAGCCAATTGATCACGATGTTCACGACGATTGCAGTGTATTCAAAGGCTATGGTGGTGGCTGTCGTGGTGAAGAAGGAGATTGATGAATCGGTACACACGTGTTCTTCAATATGCGGGGGCTCCACTGCAGCCGAATAATCATGATGTTTACGACGATTGCAGACGAATGCAGTGTTAGACCGTGGTGGTGGCTGTAGTGTGTGAATATGGAGATTGAGACACGGCGCATCTACGTGCTGTCTACAGGGTGATCTCAAACTCCTTCTGCGGCGACTGCACAGTATGATCTGCAGTGGCGGGGACGACGCCTGCACTCAAGTTTGGAGTGCCATCGGAGTTGAGGCGCTGAACTCTGGTGAGCTGTACGGATCGCCCTTCCTCCAGGGTCTCGCGGCGCTGGGGCGGCGGAGGCTTCTTTCTCTTCGTCGACTGGCTGAGGAACTTGTTGGAGTACTGAGCATTGGCTGCGGCCGTCTCCTCCAACGACGGCTCGCGCATGTGTCTACCGGCCCTGGGCGAGGGCTGAGGGGGCGGCGACGCTTGCTGATCGCCGGTGCGAGCTCGAGGCCGCGGCGAGGGCCGATGCTGCTGCTGCTGTTGTGCCTGCTGCAGGTCCTGCTGCGTCATCCACGGGGCCGGCTGAACGTCAACGCTGTCGGTGGAGGCCAGGCGACCGGCACCAGGGCGCTGCTGCTGTTGCTGCTGCTGCTGTGTCGCCGCTGGTCGAGGGTGACTGTAGTTATCCTGCGCGGCGTTGTCACCGCTGCCGGAAGCACTGCGTGGATGATGGTACTGATTGCCGGCGTGTGACGGTGATTGCACCACGCCGCCGCCGATGCCAGGCTTGACGGCGGCCTCGCTGCTCGGCCAGTTGTAGTTCACCGGCACCTCCGACTGCAACTGTGGACGCTGCTGCTGCTGTTGCTGATGCTGGGCCGAGAAGGTGGACGCGTTGGACATGCCACTGACGGACGAAGCGGCCGCGGGCTGCGGATGCGAGTAGGTGGCGTTCGCCGTCGTTGGTGGTGAGGCCGGGTCGCTGGACGGCCAATTGTAGTTGACCGGCACTTCCGACTGCAGTTTTCCGCCGCCTGTGGAGGCACTGCCCCGCTGAGATGATGCTGAGGATACAGTCGAGGCACCGCTCATCGCGGACGCAGCGGCCGGTTTCGGGTGTGAGTACTGGGCACTGGTCGCCGCGGACGCCGGCTGGCTCGACGGCCAGTTGTAATTGTCCGGAACTTCGGACTCCAGGCGACCGCGACTGGCACCACCTGGCCTTGGCTTGGGAGCTGTGGGCGGCGCTCCATTGCTGGTGGCGGAGCCGTTCGCCGGCCGAGGGACGTTGTAGTTGGCGTCGTCGGAAGACGTGCTGGTGGCAGCGCGGGTGTTGACAAACATTGCGCCACCGCCCTTCTTGATGCGGTCTATGTCGTCCTCCTCGGCTGCTTGATTGGCTAGCTCGCCGACGTACTGATTGCTGGCATCCTTGCGCCGGCCGCTCATACGCTCGCCGTGTCCGCGCGCCAGGTTCGTCAGCGGCACATCCTCTCCTCCACCGCCGCTACTACCCTGCGTGACGCCGCGATTGAGAGCGTGGCGTATGGATCGGCGGATGCTCTCCACTCGGTTTAGGCCACCGGCGGCGGCTTCCATTACCTCCGCTTCGCCGGTCTCCTCGGCCGTGAAGTATTCGTCTGGGGCCATGGGGTTGTGTGTGTAGCGCTGCATCATGAAGATATCAAGATTCATGTGATCCCGTATGCTATCCTTGTAATGCATTATCATCGTGACCAGCTGCGTGAAGTTGGCGCGACGCTCCGGACGGTAGTGCATCGCCGCCAGCATTATCCGGTACCTGTGGACGAACACGCACCCACACATGCACACAAGCACACACGCACGCACACACACGCACACACACACACACGCACACACACACACGCGCACACACACACGCGCACACACACACACACACACACGGACACATGCACACATGCACACATACACACACATACACACACACACACACATACACACTCACACACATATGCACAGACACAGACACACACACACACACACACACACACACACACACACACACACACACACACACACACACACACACACACACAGTTCCAACATATCACACAACCTTTATAGCCACTCAACAGCGGCCTTGGAGATTCAAACTAATTTCTGAAGCTCACTGTTTCCTGTAGACTGGGATTTAGCACAGAAATCTATGTACAGACGTGACATGATTGGGTTAGAGGTAAATGGTTGTCAATACAGTACATTGAATCCTGTAACTAAAGACCACCGTGACTAGCAACTAGCCTGGTACTACAGACCACTTTGCCAGGCATGGACGGTCTCACATTCATAATGGTTATGTGGTGCAAGCCTCTAACTAAAGACCACCTGCCATTAACCCTTTAAGGCCCACAATTATTTTGGATTTTCATGAAAATTTGGATACTTGTGTAGTCTTTGGAATGTAACTCGAAGACCATTGGAGATGTCAAATACACAACCCATACTATTTCCGAAGCTCACATACCAAGGAATATAATGAGCACCATCCCAAGTGTATATGAAGAAGGAATATTGCCCATATATGGCAATGAAGTTTCCCACGCTACAATTTCGCGGTATAAACAAAGGTTATCAGGTAGAAAACTACAGAAAACAGGCTTATACTGCACCAAGACAATCTATAATGAGCCAGGGGTAATGACCATATATGGCATCCAACTTTCCCACGCCAATAAGGAGCAATAATCAAGCACGAATGAATACAGAGTGATGTATAATATTTCGGAAATTAGAAGAAAAATGTATCTATGTGAAGTATACTATCTAGTAGCAGTCCTGAATGATGGTGATCAAGTAAGGCTGAAAAAGGTTCCCACGGTTGAAAATACAATATTTCTGCGCAAAAAAATAATCAAGGGCACTCACTGTACAAGCAGCCGTATACGAGCAATCAACTCACGTCATCAATGACAACTGTGAAGACATGAAACTATGCAATCAAGTAAGGGAGAAAATAACTTTCAAATGACAGACTTAGTGTGCCAAATCTGGTCACACTCAGGAAAGCAGAGCGGTACATGAGGCTCACAATCAAAGCACCAGTAAGCTGAGTCACGAGGGCGCCTCATGTGCCGGGTTTTGTAAGTGCGCACACACAGAGCACACTTTTGGGAAACATGCTTTTTCAGGAAATGTTTTCCTGTCAGTCTCTTCTTTGCTGTAGATGGTCCTGGACGTTGCCTGCTACTGAAGTTGCCAACAAGTTCTTCAGACAAAATTACTCTGAATTCCTTCTGGCTCATCTTTGTAGCACCATCAGTGTTATTCATGATGACCCATGCATTGCATATAGCCATGTCTAAACATCGCGCAAATACAACTCTCCACCATTTCCTCGTTTTGCGTTTCACAGTATAGTATGTGCAAAATTGATCCCCAAGATCTACACCACCCATGCTCTTGTTATAGTCAAAAATTGTGGGCGGGACTGGTACATCCAGTGCGGCATGCTGACCGTTGACTTTCACATTACGGCGGACAGTGTTAGGGCCTACAGCTTGGTGACAGGATGATAGCATAGTTACATCTCTGGTGTCTTTCCATGTACAGCACAGCAAAAAATCACATCTCCTGTATATTGTATCGCCTCGATTCATCCTCTTTATAACTGTTTTATCACCCATTTCCTTTGGAATATGTTTGCGATCTCGCCGCACAGTGCCGACAGCATACGTGCTGCGGGTAAATAGATCAATAAACAGAAGTGGACTCGTGTAAAAATTATCCATGAACACACAATGATTCCGGTTGAAGAGTCCAGTCATCAGTTCCATAACAACAGCATAGGCTAACCCACCTGGAGGCAGCACACGGTCTTGCTCTTTGCCAGCATAGAGAGAGAAGCGCCATGTGTAACCTGTGCGGCTGCATGCAAGGACCCATAACTTGATTCCCCACTTATGGGGTTTGTTCTTGATGTACTGTTTCAGGTGTGTGCGGCCTTTGCATGGGACGAGTGATTCGTCAATCGAGACATCACGCGAAAGTGTCCATGCTGCCTGGAATTGCGTGTTGAGCAGCTCCACAAAACTGGATACTTTCGCCAATCGCTGACCGACAATGTGGGTAGTATTGTTTGAGACATGAAGAAATCGTAAAATATTGAAGAAACGTCGACGTGGCATGGTTCGGCTAATGAAATCGTTCCGCAGAAGATCATGTTTACTAGACCAATAGTCCCGAATAGCTGGCAGCCTAGCGATGCCCATGCCGATAATGAGGCCGATGAATGCACGCATCTCTGTTTCATCAACTGGTGCATAGTTATGTGCTCCTTTTTGCGCGGCGTACCGATTCGTTTCCGTCACAAGAATCGTCCACGCAAAATTCCACAAGAAGCCAAAGAAGAATAGTGGGGATAGCATGCTTCCTGCTGGAATCACAATACTGGGCCCTGCAACTGCACTAGGTATAAATGCTTTGACATTTTGAGGTGTATCTATGGTGCTCCATACCAAATTGTCATCAGCTGAATTGTTTCTCACTGCATTGCCACCACCCCGTCCTCTTCCACGACCTCTCCGCGACGTTGCAGACTGAGCTGTCCCAGCTGTGGCCGCATGACCTGTCACATTTCTGCGCTGGGTACCACGTCCGCGCTGTACTCTAGCTCCGCCGCGAGCAGCGCCTCTCACTTGGAAATTCGTTCCTGACGGAGCTCGCGGCGCAGCAGGATTCGCTGCTGCTGCGATATTGTTTGAATCATCATCGCTGCTCTCTTCAACGCCGGAGCTCTCTCCAGTGCCACTTGACGCATCAGCATGATCAGATCCCCTGTTGGACAACACTTCAAGTGGCTCATCAGCGCCGTCAGGTGGCACGCGAGTGCCGTCCAAAACTATTCTTGCAGCGGCGGAGATGCCGTCACGATCCGGAGTCGATTCGCCATCAGAACTATCGCTATCGGAGCTATCTACTGGTGAATCCTCTCCGTCACTGCTGTCCCAGATCGTGGCTACGAGATTAGCAAAAGACTCGTCTCCTAGGGCCTGTACATCCAGAAAAGAAGGTGGGCGAGTCCTTTCCGCCATGCCAGAAAATTTCTTGACGGAAGCGCTCCGCAACTTTCGTACTGCGCGCGCTTCCTGGGCTCATTATTTGAGATTTTTGTATGTGAGAACTCCATGTTCCGGCGGATTTAGACAAAATCGAGTGTGCTGAGTCGATTCCCGGTGTTATTTTAGTGAAAAAACCAAGCTAAAGTGCTGAAATCGGCCGCGCAGTGCGCGCACTGCACTGGTACGGATATATCCGTACTATGGGCCTCAAAGGGTTAAAGACCGCTTTTGCTGACACCTAGGGGTGGTCGTTAGTCACAGGTTTAATTGTATACTAAATAGCCATCCTAAGAAGTTATAGGGTTGACTAGAAAATACGCGTAGCATACACTTGCGACGACTTACATTTCGTCGGTGAAGTACGGTGGTCGTTGGATCTTGAGTCCTCGCTTCACCTCGTTGACGATATCGCGTGCTGAGCGGAAATTGCCATACGGCGTGTCACCAAGTGACCCCAGCTCCCAGCACACCACGCCGAACGCCCTGAGAAAACAAAACAGCGATGCATGGAGAGATAC